GAACCGGGGCCCTCTGGCATCCCAAGCCAGCTCTTAACCATCGCGCCACTCGGCCGGCCCAGATTTACCAACTATTGACATTTTTGCACATTTGCTTTATGTTGATGTTAATCATCTCATCATTTTTATCCCATAATTATTTTAGCTGAGCCATTTGAGAATAGTGCACATCATGATCCTTTACCTCTAAATACTTGTATCTCCTAAAAACAAGGATGTTCTGTTACATAACCTCAGTGCAGTAATCAAATTTAGGAATATTTAACATTGATAGACTACTGATACAATACTATTATTTAATACATCCCATATTCTAATTTTGCCAGTTGTCCTAATGATAATGTTAGCAATTGTTTAGCACTAATCTAGGATTCAGCCCAAGACCACACACTGAATAAAACACTGGCATAGTTTCTCAGCCCTCCTTTTTGTTTTATTACGTTGACAATTTTAAAGAAAATTTCTCAGTTTGGATTTATTTGTTTCCTCAGGAACAGATTCTAATTATATTAACTGTCGTTTTTTAAAGGAATGAAAAGGATGGACTCCTATCATAAGAAAAATCTGTAGGAGAGAATTGAAAGAATTCTGGACCAAGAATCAAGAGTGAGTCCTGAATTCTAGTTATACTCATATATGCTGGGCATCATTTCAGATGCTAAGGAACAGTAAAAGAAATTCCTTGAAGTTTAACACTAGTGGGGAAGACAAACAAAATTAGTACATTATAACATATGGGGACCATCTTGTCTCAATTTCGTAACCTAACTTTTATAAAACCAAGAGATAATTGCATTTTAGTACTGCCACCATTCAGGTTCATTGACTGCATACACCAGAAAGCAACTCCAGAAAGTTGGATTTACAGAGAACATTAATTAGCTCAGAAAAACCTGATCAGTCAGGTTCTGAAAAAACGGAACCACAGCAGTTCTATGGGTCAAAAATATCCCTACCCAGTTCCGTACTTCCAGTTATTTGCTGTCCTCCAAGGTCAGTTGCCGTCCTTGGATAGCTCCAGAGAGCGTCTGTGGACGCTCCAGAATCCGCTGCCATGCGGACACATTGTGAGGAATTCTTAGGTCTATGTACGGACTCACTGGCATGTACTTCACCTCCCCCGTTTTTCATGGTCTTTTATTGTGTTATCATGGCTCTTTCCCTCCACTAGGCCTTGGTATTTCATACATTAAATTTCTGGAAGAGAGTTGAGGTACCTCCTCTATAACAGAAAGCCCCTAGGCTGGCTACTAAGCAAACTACCCACAAACCACCATCCCAAAATGCTGCATAAAGTGAATGTAGTTACTATATTCCAATAGGTCTCTCATCAACCTTTATTTAAATAACTAAGAGGGCCATTTTCCTACTCCAGTAACACTAACTGTCTTACGTATAGTGGGCACTCAGTACATAGTAACCAAGTGAATGAAGAACTGTGGTGTTTCACCATATAACATGCAGTTGAGCCTAAAAAGAGAATTTACAAATGGATTCCTTTAAAGTTTTCCTAAAGTCTTTCTCCTTACTCTTTTTCTCCTTCTCCTTTTGTTTATGTGCTTTGTTTTGATCAGTGAAACAGGTGATTATGACAAGTCGCATTTTAATTTTGTCTAGGAATCTACTCATGGCTTTGGATAAAAATCCTGTGGCCAGATTTTTAGTCTTAATTGTAAATGACACTCCCATACTTAAAACATTTTTACCTAAAACTTAATTAAATCTTGTTAAATTACCAAAGATGCCCAGTGATGACGCTGTGTAGAAGGCATGTGCAGTTAATGCTTGTTATCTGCATAAAGGAAATTTATTTCCTGGCCCTGGGTGACCAAGAAAATCAGAAATTTCAATACTTTTTTCTTCTTCTTAATACCATGGAATTAATGAATGCATAAGATAAATGAAAAAAAAAACCCACCACAACGCTCCTTTACTAGCCCTATCCTCAGGAGATAACAACGTTAAGAATTTGTGCTTTGTTTCTTTTGGTGGTTACCATTATACATTTATTTATGTCTTCATCTGTTAGCTTTAGACACAATTTATTATCTTCCTTCAACTTTTAAATAAAATGTCCCTGATAATGTCTTAGTGAAATACATGCTTTGAATAATGCCTTGAGAGAGAAAGTTGTTGTAGACTGCCATACAGAAAACATGAGAATGCAGTAAGAGGTTAATTGTGCAGGGGAAATATTAGTAACTTTTGAAGAAAAGCATTTCTTGCATTTTCCTTTACCCACACACAAAATACTTCTGACATTTCTCATCACCAAATGTGGAAATTTTTTTTCACACCAATTCTCTGCTACCCCAGCTGGGTTTCCTCCAAGTCAGTTCAGTTCTAACGCTATCTACCTGGAAGTTAGCATCAGATCCCCCAAGGTAAGGGGTCAGTTCCACAAGACTGCCCTCATTTCAGACGTCAGTTGCAAGTCCCAGGCTGTCATTTCTGACTGACCGGCTCTAAATCATGGTTCCCACGACCCCCTCTTTGGGTTTGATAATTTTCTAGAATGGCTTACAGAACTCAGGGAACCACTTAACAGTTTATTATAAATCGGTATGATAGAGGATACAGACGAACATCCAGGTGGAAGAGATGTATAAGGCAAAGTGTTGGGGAAGGGTGCAGAGCTTCCATGCCCTGGCTGGGGGCATTATGCCCCGGAGCTCCATGTATTCAGCGAGCCAGAATCTTTCTAAATCCTATACTTTTAAGATTTTTATGGAGGCTTCCTCATGTAGGCGGGTCAGTTCTCAACTCAGTCGTCAGTTCCTCTCCCCTTCCTAGGGGTTGGCGATGGGACTGAGTGGAATTTTCCAAGTTTCTAATGATTGCTTGGTCTTTCGTGACCAGCCCTCTCCCTGAAGTTACCCAAGAGCCCACCAAGAGTCACCTCAGTAGAACAAAAGACACTCTTCTATCACCCAGCAAATTCCAAGAAATATAGGAGCTCTGTCATAAACCAGCGTCAAAGACCAAATGTTAGAACAAAAGATATTCTTAGTACTCTTATTGTTAGGAAATTACAAAGGTTTTAGGAGCTCTGAGCCAGGAACTGGAGGCAGAGATATGTATTATTTAACAGCAGCAAATGGATCAAATTGACCAGTAGGGTCATTCTAGATATACTATGAATGAATTTTCTCTGTGTCCTCCTTGTAGACTTAACCTCAGTCTAGGAATACATATCCAAGTATAGTTGGACTTCTAGGAGATCCAGCTAGACTATTCTTTCTCTCTTTACAGTGTAAAGTTCATGGTTGTTAAATAGGCTGTGAAGGAATGAATGAAAGTTCAAGAAAACTTGAGAGTTTGAAGAGATCAAGTGATTTTGAAAGAACAGCTATAATTACCTGAAATGGAACCAGTTTCTTAGAATGTGGCTCAACAGTAGTCATGGCTTGAGCATTCTACAACTATGTCATGAATTTCTTGCCAAGAACAGTGGATAAAAATAAGTAAAGAAAAGAAAGTCAAAATATGTGCTATTAAGAGACGTATAGCCATTGGCCCTAGACTCCTGGTTTCTAACTGCTTACTCTACCTTTCACAGTATGAAAAATAGCAAATTGATGGGGTCATAATATTCAGTGTTTCTTGGTTGACGTTCACCTTATACTGAACCCATTCTGCTCTTCAGTACTGCTTGTCTGCCCTTCGAATGAAATTGCCAGTTTTACTTTCTATTTCTTCCAATCAGTGACATGGAAATAAAGTGGAGTGTATTAAAGCTCCAAGTGGGATTTGCTGACTTATTTCAAACTAGAAAATTAGTCACTACTAGTGGCATTTGTAGTTAGACTGAATCAAACTGTTAACTTCTTTTACTACACTGGAGAAGGTGCGTATTAATAGAATTTATAGAGCACATTAAATTGCCCCGGGTAGCAAACATCAGGGAGAACTGAGAGTTCACACTGCCTATAAGGAAGGAAGTTCCTGGGATGGGAAACTGCAAGTTATTTCCCGTTAATGTTTTAAAATTATTTTGATGTTATATCTAAAAGGAAAATAATTTCAGACTACGCTGATATTTAGTAATCTACATGACATTCAAAACCAAAATAAAGGTACTCTTCTAAAATACTGTATAGTTATGGGGAAGGCTTAATGGAAGCCGTATTAAATTTACCCAACATTTGCTATCACTGACAGTATCCTTCCCAGGGATTCAGTTTTGCTGTTTTATGCAATAGTTTCATTGCTTCTCAGCTACCATTTGGAAGTCAGGCATAGGAATATTAGACTGGTATTTCTTTAAAACATGGACATTTGATTAATCCAATACCCATTATAGATGATTGGTTGTGATGTTTAAAATGGGTATTATTTCTTAGAGGTCAAAAATCTTCAAGCACCACTCCTGCTTTCCTCTTTAGTAATCGTCTTTTTTCCCTCTTACTTTATATCCAATATTTAATCCAGAAATGATACCTTATTTTCAGAATGCTAATAGCAGTCTGTTTAAAAACAGTTACATTTTTGTTTTTGTAAAATAAACTGCGTAACATTCATTAAAACACAAAGTAAAACATTCTAGACCTTTAGATTCAGTGTACTGATTGCTAGTTTATTTTGGCAAATCTGTGGTTTTATTAAAGGACATCACAGTGTCCCATCACAAGCAAAATCTAGTAAAATAACAATGGCTACCATTAATTTCTTTTTATATCTCAGGTACTATCACATACTCAATAGGTATTATCTTATTTAATTCTCATAACAGCAAAAATGTCTCTGTGGGTAGATAGTGTTAAAATCCTCACTTTACAGATGCGGAAACAGGTTTAGAGTAACCAGCCTAATGTTTCCTGCTTAGTGAGTGGCAGGGTCACAGTGTTCTTACAGTCCTGTTCTCATTCTTTGTGTAGTTTTTGGTAAAGCATGGGTGAAGGAATGGAAGGCAAGGGAAAGATTAATACGTGAATGCACTAGTATAATTGAAAAATTGTAAAGAACTAGACACTTGTTTCTGGAAGTTGTATTCTGTAAGATTGACAGATGATACAGCCTGACATAGATTATTAAATGCATGTGGAAGGAGAAGGGAATTTGGTGTGATTAGAGGAGAGCAAGGATGTAAATATTCAGATTATTAGGACAGGGGAAATCAAGAAAAAAGTGCTTGGAACTCTGAGGTAGGGATATAATTTCATAGTAGCCACCAGTAAACCTAGAATATCTGAAAAAGCATAGGCAACATTGTGATAGTAATCATGTGTGGTACATCCATATTCTTTCAGATTTTATTTCCTTTAGTGTTAGACAAATTTGCTGTACTGGCATTCTATCTTCCCAAGATCATGGGGTCAGAAATGGATGATGAAAGGGGTCCTTACTTATTGTAAGCTGTCAGATTTCTTGGAGTAGTCTCCATTTTTTGTCTATAGAACAATGAAGGAAAAATAGCAAAAAAGAGCAAAATCTCTTAAAACTTTCTCAGTGAACTACAAGCTGTTCATTCTTATGCCGTCTTCCTTTGCCTTGCCAATTCCTCTACTCTGGCCTATATTAATCATCGGGCTCCAAATCAAGCCACATATCCTAAAAGAGCAAAAGTGAGGAAATGCCTTTTGGCATAACTATTACTTTAAAAAATC